AGGATGGAGTTCAGGTGAATGTCTGGGGTGCCTGTGTGCAGTGGAAGAGAGATAGATGGGAAAGGACCAAAGGGAAATGTGAAATGTGAGAGGATCAGTGATGATTTTCTGAGTGCACAGGGATATGCTAGCAGAGGAGACAGGAAGAATAAATTCCACAAGATGAGAGATTAAGATGGTGAAATTGTAGCTGCCATGATGATTGAGCAACAAAGAGGCTAACTCTGAACTGGATAGAAAATTTCTTTCCACTTCTTTCTCCCACAAGCAGATAAAACCTGCCTCCCCCTGCAGGGAAGGCTAGGGACTGGTGGAAAATGGGTGTTTGTATGGTGGGAACACATTTGGGAACAGAAGGAGTTATGGGTGTGGAAAAGGTGAGTGGGGAAAAGACAAAAAAAGGAAAATAAATCAGTGAGAGAGGTGAGAAAGACAGTACAGTGAACAGCTCTTTGGGATGCTGGTAGGCAGAAAACAGAATTCAGCTCTTACATTACAACAGTTGGGGGAGGATCAGTGCTGTTGTACACAATCAGAGAGGGCCCTATATGCACTTGGTTGAATTTTGCACCTGAGATGACCCTGCCTTATTTGTGAGTGACTTCTCCTTAAGCAGGCTGACATTCCAGCAGCCAAAGAGCTGTGACATGCTTTCAAAAAGAAATACAAGAATATACCAGCTAATTAGTTCCCATATTTTTATCTTTTTATTTTTTACTTTTTGCCCTCAGAACATCTGTAAGTATTTTCAAGCTTTGGGTTTGGGAATGGTCTCTACATTTCCTTTCCCAAAATAATTTTATCATTGCATTTGCTCTATGGCACCCTGGTTTGAAGGACAATTTTCTAGGATATCTCATTTTTAACATCCTAGTTTCTGGTATGTGTGATATTATACAAAGTTATGTTTGGGAATGTCCTTATCAAAGGAGGAACTGCCAGATTATTGTACAGGAGAAAAGAAAATTTTGAAAGCTACAGTAAAACTTGCCTGATAGTTGAGAGATTTAGGACATATTTCTGAACTTAACATAATTTTCACTTCAGCTTTACAGTTCACCTTTAACATATATCACCTTTTAAAAATATTTCCACAAGCATCGTGTGTTACCTTCAGAGTGTCAGCTTTAACAGTGAATTCACTGGCTTCGTTATCTGTTTAAGTTTAGCTGCTTATCACTGAAGCACTGCAATGGTGGCCATATTACAATATGCAGGTGGAGACGCCCATAGGTACACAGAGACTGATTTAGCAACAGATTTCTGTGAGTTCTTGGTTTTGTGTATATGGTTATTACAAATGTACACAGACCTAAGGCACAAGGTATACTGTGTATAGGACAGGCTTTTGCAGGATTGGACCCACAACCAGCTAAAAGTGATAAGACAGATAAATCTAAGTTGGACTCACAGCATTATTTAAATGTGGCCCTTTGTATTTATAAACAACAATATGTTGCTGTTACAGAAGCTATTTCATTTAATGTCATCCTACATTCAGCAATTTAATGATTCTCTTAATTATTGAAACATTTATCACAGTTTTCCAATTGATTCATGAAGGGCTGGCTGCATTTCTTTAAGTCATTAATATAGTGACAAGGAAATTGACAATCCTCTTGCTAACATCTTATCTCTGAACAGTAATACTGGGGATACAAGACCTTGAGTCTTTTTTTTTTTTTTAATTTTTTAAATTTGTATTATTATCACCAGCAATAACTACAGTCATAAAAGCCTCATTTAGTAGCGAAGGGAGAGAACAATATATGAGGAAACCCTAATTATCAATGGTTTCGATAGTAAAATCTGCAAACTACTATCTTCCTGAGACCACAATTTTTGTTATAAAACGGGTGATAAAGCAGAGATAATTCTAAATCCAAACACATATTATATTAAATAGATAAACCCGAGATAAAAATTAATAGTGACCTTGCATGCTTGATATAAGAAATATAATCACGCATATATATCAGTAATGGCTGGAAAAGGAAAAGGAGATGCTCACAGGTGAAAGATTAATTTACAGAGTTCTAAAATGTGTTCAAAATACAATCTGTGGCATCTCTCTTCACTCCTTTGGCCTGATTTTGAGTGTTTTCATTACTGCCTGTGTGCAAAATTACTACCTTAAACATATTTATAAGTTGCTTTAAAAAAGAAAAAATATTTTTTTTCTTCTATCTCTTATATTTACAGACTATTTAAGTAAAAGCACAACTTTCTATGTCTCTGTTTTATTGGGTTTTGGGTTTTTTTTCGACTATCTCTGTTATTTATGTCTTTTTTTATAGCTTCTAAAATGTCAGGTGCTACCCTCAAAGACCTCTCTTGTATTTGTCAGTTTTCTCCCAGGAGAGGCTGTCCAGAGTTTGAAGCACACAAGGTCTTGCCTTAATACTTATATGAGTACTTCTGCCCTTGGATATTATTCTCATCTCCATGATACTATGCAAATTGACAGTTCCTTCCCTGTGCTTCCAGCTAGGACTTCCGAATATATTGCGAGTAGCTGGAAAATACCTAGAAAGGCTGTATGAGCAACAGAAATATAAAAGTTCAGCCCTGAGCATGTCTCTCTGTGTGTGTATATATGCGTATGTGTTTCTAGATGTGTGTACTAGTCATATACTGTAGTCTGAAAAGTGAATCTGTGTAAATCAATGCATTTATTTAGCTCTCACCAACTCTCTCTCTGAGTTAACACCCCAGCACACACAATGCTAGCGAAGGTGATTATCTCTGCTAGCATAATTCCTCCGTAACACCTGCTTTCGCCCATAACACTCCACTAATTTTTCCCTCATTTCATTACACATAATTTTCTTTCAACACAATCTACATGTATTAAGTGGTAATGACTTTCCAGTTAAGAGCAAATCGACGCCAAGGGACCCCCCCCTCGATTGCCTGCCGTGCCTGACTCCGGCTATTAAAGATAAATTTGGTGCCTCAGAAAGCTGCAGTAAGCTAATCAATCAATTAAGCGGTTAGGACATATATTATCAAAATTCTACAGCGCGGGGGTGCATGAGAGCGTGCTGGTATACTTGGTATGATTTTAGGAATAAAAAAAGAGAGAGAAAAAAAAGCAAGCTACTAATGAATACAATTTGAGGTTGAAAGTCAGTATTCAGTGTCTTCTGAAATGAAAACTCCATCTACTACACACTACTGATAGCAACTTCGGTGTCTATTGCTTGTACAATTTCTTTTGCAGCTTTTTTACCTAGTACAATTTACTAGTGATATCAGAATGGAGCTGATGACACAGTAAAATCTATTTTTAAATGATATGAGGATACTGGTGGAGTGTATGCCATTCACAGTTAAGCAGGGTGTTCTCTCTCTAACTTGTCATTGTGTCCCTTGGTACTGCCACTGCAATTTTGTATGTTGCAAAAAGGTGGTTTAAGGATAGAATGGCAGCCATCCCAGCTTGTTGTGTCAAATTTTATCTTCAGCAATGCTATAATATTCATTCTAATTTTGGGGGGTATTTAAAACTTATAAATTAAACTGTAAAATGGCCTTGACTTTTTGTCTACTAAAAAGCAGTTCCTAGTGAAGTGACTTTGCAGGACTGACTTAAAAAACAGTTTCAACCTAACCAGAAAAAGTTAAGTTCACTGATGACTGAGTTACATTTAAGTGCAAGGAAATAGGATAATTTCAGAACTATACATAATATCACTAACAACGCCTTCATTGCCATGTTTTACTTTATTATCTTTGGCATGGTGTCATTCCTTGTATGGAAAAATTACTTAACCAGTTAGCGGCGCTTTTTTTTTGTTTTTAATGTAAAATATTTTCTCTTGCATTGTGATGAACTTCCTGTGCACCAATATTTGGCTAAATGCTAAGGAAATTGAAGCAAAACCCCAAAGAACATAAGAATTGTACAAGCAATCTTTATAGATCTTCCAGGACTAATACAAAAGGAGAGTTAAACAGAACTTTATAGAGGATATGAATAGTACAAAATATGACAAAAATTGTAAAACTTACGTTTTTAAAACAATCGGTAAATCTATAAAATAGAAACTGTAAATGGATCATTACAAGGCTTTGCCAATTACTTTTCCTGTCAATATTAACCATTTTGCCTAAAGCTTTGTTATTGTAGTGTATTAGTTATCAGCTAAAACAACATGGCAAAACTCCCTGCTTACTTTCTCAGAGCATTTTTTTCAATTTCTGCAAATTACATTGGAGCATAGTCAATGCATACACTTCTACTACTGGAAAGAACACAACATCTTTTTACTGTCTAAATAAATATTTCTTAGCAAAAAAGAGGCAGGTTGTCAAAGACAAAAAAGGGTGGTTTTGTTATGTTTTAAAGTATAATACAAATAAAAGAGGTAGCTCAGTGACTTCTTTCTGATGTGTTTGTGTAAGGAAAAATGCCATGAATAAACTCTAAAAAGAGCACTATAAATGTACACAATACGTGCAGAACACTTAATCCAAGCCCTGCATGTAAAATACAATTACAGAGAGCTAATGGCAAATATAGTGAAATAAAAAATCTACCCACGGAGACTATACAAGTGCATCCTTCAAAAAAACCGCAACACCAGCATGTTTCAATAATATGATGCTGTCCTTTCCTTTGTGGCATTCTTCATTGACTAGGCTGATAATGAAAAGGTGTCAGGGAGATTCACAGTTTAGAGTTGTATTTTCTTCCTTTCTTTTGTGTGATTGTTTTGCATTTATGGCTGTTTTCCTGCCTCTGCTCTGTATGGAGAATATGAAATATTTCAGAGCTATGTTTTCTTGTGAGATATAGAACTAAATTTGACTTTGTTATCATTACTAGGAGCATGCAAGTTTAAGTTTATTTGGTTGAAAAAGGCACAATGATGTTGTTCTTCCTGATATAGGAACAGCTATATTGGCTTTTATAGGATTTTTAGTGCAGGCTTCTTCATCTGTCCTGCATTTGATAGCTACCCTATCAGCTGGATTTTTATTTTTTTTTTTGCTTATGTTTTTGTTTCTTACCCATTCTCATTTTGGAAAAAATCATTCTGATTTATCTGAAGCACATCAAAACCTCTTTATCTATTCACACTGAGAAATTCCTTCATATTGAGAAGGTGGGGAGAGAGAGGAGGGCAGTGAGGCAAACAATAAAAAAATCTCAGTCCAAACCAGTTTGCCTTATCCTTTTCTGCAGTGTATGTAATGACTGAACTTTTGACTTTAAAGTTTTTCTCTGGTGCAGTACTGTGGAAAAAAAAAAACCAAATAAACAAACAAACAAACAAAAAGATCCCCTCTGTGCAAAGACGGGTCTAAGGCAATACCTAGTGAGGGGAATTTTTTTTGGGGGGGGGGAGGAATTGTTGTTGTTTACTTGAAGCAAATAAAACACCCACCTTAAACCCGTCCTCTATTCAGTTCAGCAGCACCTCCATACTCCAATAAACCGTTTTCATTCCATCTGGCATGCGTTTGCTCTGAAGACATTTTCCTGTCAATCTCTCCTGCCACATTAAAAATCTGTCGTTACTATTGCATTGCCGCCTGGCTCCTGAGATTTGTCTGACTGCTTTATTGCTCCTCTCATTTTTTTTTTTTCCCTGCTACAGCCGAGAAGCAGAAATAAAGGTTTGTTGTTGAAACATGGCCGCAAGGAAAGTAGGAGGCACACATCTGTCAAGGTATTACCTTTCTTCAACCAGGGATTAAGGTGTTTTACTGCTCTCGCTACTGAGCAGTCACACTGAATAAATTTTCTCAGTAGAACATAAAAATGAACTCATACATTTTGAACTGGGTTTCATTCTTTCAAGCCAACCCATATAATTATGCAATGGCATCAGTGTTCAGGGGAAAAAGAAAAGTCAGAAAGGTTTGTGTGTGCCCCCTTTCTCTCCCCTGCACCACCCTTCACATTTACATTATTTAAATGCTTATTAGGAGGGCAAGGCTGAGGCAACTAGTATTGGGAAAAGATTTTTTTTTTTTACTCTTCCTTGCTGCTGTTAGTGGATCCCTTGCAAGGTCAGATGGGGTACAGGTCTTCACTCCCCATGTTTTATCTCTGTGCTCACAATATATGCCTGGCTGTGAATATTCACTGTTAATTCACATAGAAGCAAGTCAGTAGAATTGTGATTACTGAAACACTGTCTTTTGAAGGAAACTGGCAACATTAGCTGTTGTGTACCCTTCCCATTTCTGCTGCAGACATTAACTTTACCGTCTCAATGGTACAAATGAAAACAATTTAAAAATTAAATATAACCAGTGGAGGTGGTTGTTACACCAAGACAGAGCATGTCAGACTATTCTTGGCAGTACTCAGCTGGACACTTCTGCATTATTTCAGTTATATGAAGTTAGATATCTAAAGCAGAAGGGGTTATCTCACAAAATAAACATTAGGTGTAGGCAAATGAAGGATCAAGTCAAATATATCTATGAAGGGGCACAATATATGGTGCTTTATGGATTTTTTTTGTTGTTGTTTTGTTTTTGGTTGTTGTTTTTTTTTTTTTTTTTATTCTGAAAAAGAGTAATGCAGCTTTTAAGTCTGAGGACACCCCACAACAGAAGGACTAACCTCAGTGCAGGAGCCATAAACCTCTCCAAGCTTTGAGGAGAAAGCAGTTAAGAAAATACTACACAGAGTCGGAAATCACAGCTCCACCCATTTCACCCCAGAGAAGACACGAGGAAAAGTGAGCATTCTGAAATCTTACTCTCCTCTCCTTGGTCCCAGCTCCTTCCCAGAGCTAAGTTGCATGGCTGTATTTACAGCTTTCTTATGCCAGGACAGCACATAGGAATGAATCAGGCTGGATTGGGAGGCAAAGCTCCATTCCTAACTACTTCCAGGTTTTAATTCTTCAAAAGAAGGAACCATCTTCTTATTCTGTGTTAGTATAACAACTCACACAATGAGGGATCTGGGGTTGTTATGTAGTGCTTCAGTGCAAATTATAAATAGTAATGTGCCCATGGAAATATTGTTCCTTCAGATGCTTTTTTTTATTATGGTATTCCTCAATGACTGTCTGGCTTAGACTGAATTTGCAAGTAGTTGATCCATAGGAGTAAATACATAGAATGAAACGATTAGTGTTGAGGACCTGACATCCAGGCTGTATATCTTTCAAGGGGTTATCTCACCTCAAATTTGATTCTACTCTAGTGCCATGGACTGCTCGTTAGCGAGTACATTAGGTGTGCTTCCAGAGCACAACTTCTGTATTTATTAATTTTGTCTGAAAGAAACTCAAGCTGAGCCCACTCTGCAGTGAAAGCCACACTGCTCTCAAAACACCGGTGCAAATGCAGCTCATGCCTTCTCTGGCAGCCCTCATGTCTGCTGGATCCGCGCCTGACTGAAGCTCCTCCACGTGCCTGCCTCAAAGACAGGGCGCTGCCTGGTGGTACAGAGGAACAGTGCATTAACCTGCTATACCTAGTGAATTCTGCAATGCGTATTTAGTGGAATACAAATCATTTACAGAAAATCAATGAAAAAAAGAGGGAAAGAGTGAGAAAGGTAAATATATAGCTTTTCTTAATCTTTTCCTTTTTTTTTTTTTTTTTAGACAGAAGTACTCTTAGTGACTGACGTACACAAGCCTCAGCGAACTTGAAGCCTGTAGCAGTGTCACATTGACTGTTAAATACAGATTATTTGCACAGGTCTGGGTTTTTTTGGTAGTCTTTCAAAGCCGCGTTTCAATGTTTTCCTCCAGAAATGTGTGTATTGGTGATGGTCCTTTACCTGCTGATTCCTCCTCTCACAGCATATATAGTTCAAGGTTAAAAATGCTGTCAGTAGCTGCAGTTTCATTTGCAAAGCCTGTCTGAAGTGGGCAACTGCTTTATACCTTTGGGTGTGTTTAAATTACTTATCAGGATCCAGATCAAAGCTGGCAAATGGCATCTTGCCAAGACAATTTAAAAAGCAGTTCGTATTTGTAGGAGACAATCATAAGGGGCCAAATATTCAGAAAACATGAAGCTACTGACAGTCCTTATGGGAACTCCAGAGTTCATTTTTCTTTTAAACAAAAAGCCATGGCTTCTATTTTTATTTAAACAAAAATTCAAGTAAGAATACTTGCATTCAAGAAGAATGCAAGTAAAGGGAACTTCATATCTCAGTCCTCAATTAAACTGACCACTTGATTTTGATTACCCAGGAAAAACACAGATTTTTTTTCCCATGAATGAGGAACCTTCACGTCCAATCAAAGCAGCTTGAGGTTTGAATTTAAATATGCATAATTTCTGGTCCAAACAGAGGGATGTAGATGATAAGTATCTGAGATGAGGATCTGGGCCGTACAGTTTGATATGGTTCTTGGCGTTATCTGCCTAACCATGGCTGTATCTCATCCAGCCAGCCAGTAGTTATCAAAGCCTTACCTGCAGTCCCAGTGGAACAAGTCTACTGCGTGTGTTATCTTCATTCTGGGAACCAACTGCAGATACACAAGGCTTTAATGAATCAACAATCTGTGCTGCCCACAGTTTATTAACTAATACCTCCTCTCAAAAAAAAAATATTAATTTAATATGCCCTCACACAATAATTTTAGCCTCCATACTCTCATCCCAATTAACAGAGCCACTCCCTGCTCTGTGCATTTATATTGTCCCATCTTCACCTGGTTTGTACTCTGAACTAGTAAAATTGAGACCCACTTCAGGTATATACAATTAATGAAGGGCCCTTTCTCTCAGTAAAACTAAACATATTCATCTTCTTCTTCCCAAACAGGAATGTGGAATTAATTTATCCCACTCTCATATCTGTCCCTATCATGCCTCTCCACAAAGGAATGTCAGCTGACCAAGGCCAGATATTGCTTTTAGTGAGGGAAGAACAGAGGGAGTTTGTTGGATGGAGTAAATTTTGAGGGATAGAAAGGACAGCAAGTTTATCAGTGTCAAGGCTTAGATTCATGTTTTTGTCTGCTATCTTCTCATAACACCTGTCTCTGAAAAACAGTATATTAACTTCTGCATGTGATGTCCAACACCTGAACCAGAACTACAGTAAGGAAGCATCATTTCCTTCAGTTACAGCAGTTGAGCCTTTTAACATAGATACTGCCTTAGCATACTTAGGCAGACATTTATTAGTGGAGTTCCCATTCCCATCAGCTCCAGCCAACATGTTCCCATGATTAGTCACAGGTCTGTTGAGATGGCAGCTGTACCCATCACTTGAATGGAGCAGGGTGGACAGCAAGACATTAGGGAAAGACATCTACTGATCATCAGTGAGCTTTGAGAGACATATTCTACTGCAGGCCTCCTGCTTTGTCGTTGTCTCTGTGATACTGTGGTCACCAGCCATATGAGTAAATGAGTAACCCAGCAGCAGGACCAGAAGAGCAGGCGCAGTGATGTGTACATGGGAAACCCACATGGGAGCTCTCCCAACAAGACTGCTGCTCACATGCTTACAGTTGCTCACATGTTGAAGCATCTTCTCTGTCAGTCTCTCATCTCTCCACTGCCAGGGAGGAAGTAACATGAATGATTAATGCAGAGAGCTGCGGGCAGCTCTCTCCTGGGTCTGTTCATTTCTACAGAGCATGCACCTGTGAGTTGCCTTTTCTTTTCTATCTCTCTCTGCCTCTCTTGCCCTCTGCGTTGCTTCTAGGTTGGTTTTATGGAGGTAGTGGTCTGAGAAGGCAGATCTTTCCACTTGGGAAGAATTCGCACTGCTGATGCACAGATCCCAGTGCTGCCCGTCAGAAAGCTGCTGCATGCTACATTGCAATCATGGCAGCAGACATTTAGCAATGTCTTCCAGTGGCTGCAGTTTATTACTTTTCCCCCCAATATTAATCAAAAGTGATATCGACAACATTCATTGATCACAAAACATGGGTTTGGGCAATTAATTTTCTGAATTAATTTCTGAAGTTCCAATCCAAACTGAATATTTCTCAGCATATATTCTCCCTCAGTTAGTTTTTGTTTCCCATATGAAAAGTGCTGTCTCCCTGATGAGCCATGTTGGTTACCAAATTAAAACAGAAACCCTGAAACTGCTCTAATCTGACCTAGCTCTTTACATGACCAGAGTTGTTGGGAAGGGTGTGAGGTATTTTCTCTTTAAACCTGTCCTGCACCCCTCAGATAACCACTGCTGACATATGTCATAACAACCCTTACAACTGACTGCTACAGGTAGCCATCAGGATGTGTTTCTTTTTGCAAAGCAGTGTGTGCTTTTGAACCCAGTGCTGTGTCAGGGAGTTTGACCAGCTCTCAGGATGCCTTCAGTGTCTTCTACAGGTGGGCCCTGTGCTGGCACTGTGCTCAAATGTGTATGGATTACTACACAGGATCTGCACGGATAGACTGATTTCCTCTTCAGAATACAAGTGTGAACTGCAAAAGCCCTGATGGCCACTCTGATCTCTTTGCCTGCACATGGCAACAGCAACAAGTTTTATTATGAAACATAAGAGCTCTCAGCCGAGAGCACGGTGGTGAAGTGGCTGCCCTTGTGTCTCAGCTCAGGCTGAAATCAGCCTGGAAACCCTTAGGTCAGCTTACCCAGGGAAAGGAGTTGTGACATTTCCCTCTAGAGGGTGACTGTAGCACCTCAAGAGGCACTGGGGCTTGGTGGTTGTTTATCCCTGCTCTCTGATGCTGTGTCCTGCAGGGCATATTAAAGTCCATGAAATAATGATGAAGCAGAGGGGTAATTAAAAGCCACAGTGACATTGATCTGCTGAAATTTCAGAGGGAGATCGGGGCACATAGGGAGACTATCCGTCTTACCTCACGCAGGGCCAGCTTGATTGGCCTACTGAGTATTGCAGATGGCAAGGCTCCTCACCTGTGGCCGGGGGGGCTCCCAGTGCAGCAGCCCTACTGGCTTCACATGACTGCAAAACAGGAGGATAGGGAGCAAGTGGTCACAGCTGCCAGAGGCTGTCCTTGCAGAGCAGCAGAGAAATCATTTAAAGATACAGGCTTGTTTTCACATCCTTATTCCTTTTAATGCAAATGGTAAACTCTGTATTTTTACTTAGGGACAGTTTCTCCTACTAAGAACCATCCGGCTTTCAAGCTTCTTTGCTGTATTAATTTGGTCAGTATTTAGCATTGATTCACAACTAGTTCCTTTGATTTCATGTACTTTTCATCAGTTTATTTTCTTTGTTAAAAAATTGCAGGGGACATTTCACATCTACATGGATTTTCATTTCATTTTCTAATTCACCGAGGCTAAATAAAAGTTGACTTGGGGTTGATGACGTTCCCTCAGATAACAGGCTCTCTTTCTTCAGCTTGGGCTTTGAGTATCTGGGATCATTTCTCGACCTGTAGCTTAAAGATTATGGGTTTCAGACTACTTCAGAAACTGCCTTTATGTCAGAGAAGTGAGAAGTACAGAGTTTACTAAGTTAACGGTGATGTCATAGCTTTCTTTGGTAGCTGGCATCTTCTATACATCATTATATAATCACAGGTTCTTACATTCTTTTTATAAACCCCAGCCTATTTTTTATTCTTTGCTTCCCCCCACTTCATTTGCTGCTGACGGCTGCTGCTAAAGTTCCCTTACCTCTCTCAGAAAGGAAGTAGGTTAAGAACAAAAAGAAGAACTCTATCAGATTAAGTCAAACATGTGGGGCCTATGGAGAAATCATGCATCTTGCAATAGTACCAGCAAAACAGCTTACTTTGAAGGCTAAATTGCTAAATATATCCAGAGACTTCTTTGAGCTGAAAGCAGCTGTCTTCTGCATGTTTTCAGTTGTTAGACTCCTGATGTCCCAAATAACACAGTCTCATAAAGGGTCGAAGTTGATGCAATCAGGATAATAAAATCACTCTGACAAGGCTGCATTTTGTACTTAGTTTATAATTAGGAGTCTGCTGTCTCAGGTTAAGATACTGTAAAGTTCCAATGAATTGTTAAGCTATTCACAGCACTGTGCTGCTACTGAACCAAGAAAATATTGTGTCCTAAAAATATCTTCATGTAAACACGTCAGAAATGAAAGCATGGGAAATCCAGAGAAAAGCCCTCTAGAGTTGTGTTTTCTGCACATGAAAATGGTAAGACTTGGCAATTTTTCATTTGAAGCTGACAAGGAATTATTATTCTTAAAAATAAAGTGAGCCTCAGAGCCTCAGTCAGCATGGATATTAACTATGCTGGGGTAATTTTTACAAATCAAAGCTCATGTGGTCTGTACTTTTAAAGTGACAAGAACTTCCTCTGACCAAACTATTTTATATTAAAGATAAATAAATGGATTCTTTGTGGCTTCTGATTGGGAAGGCAAATCAATGCAGATTTATGATTTTGGATTGAAGTTCTGATTCTTGTAACACAGAAATTAACATCTGTCTTTGTGACCTGTTTGTATACATACAGTTAAGCTGCCCTTTTCCATGTCACTGTTTTCAATCTAGAAAACATTGCATTTTTCCAGAGACGTGAATTCAGTGTGCAGCTCCAAATGATTGCCCAACCCTCTGTCACAGTTGCCTACAAGAGTATTAATTTTATATACCTCTCCTCCCTACAGTGAGAAAATAGAAATGTTTTCATAATTCCCTGCTATGAGGGCCAAAAAGCCAAAAACATCATAACTGGAGTAAAAACTTGTTAAGGACTCATCTGATTTATTGTCTGTACTAATAATGCATTGAGCAGACTTTGGGAATTTTCTAGTCTGAAAAAGCTTGATAGCAGAACTAAATCCTGTGTAATTCTATGACACTTTGATAGTGCTCCTGAAAAAGCAGATTCCAGAATTAGAGTTGGTTTTGCTTTTTTACTTTGATCTGGGTTGGAAGAATATCCTATATGCTACAGTATCAGAAGACATTTACTTTTCATGTGTGTAGAAATGTTAACAGTTTGGTCATTTTAAAATACTTTGTATTTATTATAAGTTGTGAATATAATGTGTGGATCAGTATGATATGTGAATCAGATACATATCTACGGCACCTAAAATTCAAATTTATCCAGCACCTCACTCACTCCCCCAGCTGAGGATGTGAACTGCATTTGAATTTTATGTCCACTATTGCCAGCTATCAAAATATAAAAATCCAGAATGAGCTCCCAAAAGAATGTGAATCTTGTGTAGAAATTGTGTGTTTTTTAAAGCCCATCTTATTGTTTTGTTGGGTTTTTTTAATAAAATGGTAAATCTACTGAACTTTCAGGGTTCTTTTTTTTTAAACTGTTCTTGGCAAACAGAGTAGCTAAAATGCTCATATTACTAAAATAAGATAAAGAAGTTTTATTTTCTTTTAATCCTATAGGTGTTAATAACAGCATCAAAGATGGTGTGATTCCTGATGAAATCTGAAAAATTGGCTACACCGTCTTAGCTGTCCACAGTGAGAAGGCTTGCAACACTGACTTCTACTCGGTGTCAGTATTTATTGCTCCTTAGAGCAGTGGCCTGGAATTCAGGACCTGATTTGTAATTAACAGTCAAGCTTAGTGTTTTGGGTGGTTTAGGAACTGTTCTGTGTCAATTTTCTGTACAGAGCTGGCTAAGGTGTGCTGAATGTGCAGATTTCTTTCAATGTAATTAGCCCAATGCTTTCTTTTTGCTGACGCACCCAGGCTCTTCCATTGCCACCGCATACTGTGTGCTCACAGCTGGTAAGTGAGAGCCTTTCCTCTGAAAATTCCTTTTTTTAATACCAGTTAGCAGGGGGAGCTTTGCAGGGCCACTAAAATATGCATTTGTACAGGCCTAGTCCTCTCTCAGTAACCTGAATTTTTTTTTCAAAAGTTAGCCATAAACATTCAGCTCCCAGGTGGAACCCATGGGACACGTTCAGTTGGCTGAAAAATCACTTTCAAAATTAGCATGTCTGCTTTGTAAGATATTATGTGTGCTTTCTCTCTTGCCTTAGAAGGAATGAAAGCATAGAATAAAAGGGCTGAATCTTACTATGCTTCACAGAATTGCCTCCAAAAGGGCAGGACTGCTCAAAATATTGGTTTCACCTTTGCAGTACCATTTTTTCTCAGGGGGATTCTCCCAAAGTACTAGATTTTCCTGCTGAGTCAGCCCAAATGCCTCTGGCCACGGCCTATGGAGAGAAAAACCTCAAGACATCCACTGAATGGAAGTCCCAGGTGCAAAAGTCAGAACTTTTGTATATAATTTTCTGATATATTAAACAGGCTTCATATCAATTCCAGGCTCCCATGGAAGGCTTACATTTTATCTGTCATACTGTAGTTATAAACCAATGAGAAATGTCCAACAGCTTATATATTTTGGCTAAGGCAAATATATTAACTAAAAATGTACTACACCAAAATATTTTTATAGGTCTTGTTTCAAAATTATGAGGAAACACTAGAAATTAAGAGATCATAGTCTGATGTTAAGGCCATGGACAAGACTGAATTGCTCTCTGATTTAGAAAGTCCCCGTCTATGTAATATTTCCAAAGGTTTCATAAAGATATTAGTCATTATAATTTTGAGATGGTACAGAAATAATCATGTTTATTACCAATATTGTTTGCATACATTACTGGCCCTAGGCTTAACTGATTCTTGGTATGCAGTGCATAGTCCTTCACTGCCACAGAATTTACAGTCTAACAGGGACAGAAAGAAACAAGAAATACCTTTCTGTCCTATAGCCATTATTCCACATATAGGGAGCAGAGAAATTATATGCAAATGTCATGGAATAGCACCAGACATATGTGAGACCCCATCTGGAGTACTGCATTCAGCTCTGGGGCCCCCATGTATGAAGGATATGGACCTGCTTGACTGAGTCCAGAGGGGGGCCACAAAGATGCTCAAAGGGCTGGAGCATGCCTGCTATGAAGACAGGCTGAGTGAGTTGGCCTTGCTCAGCCTGGAGAAGAGAAAGCTCCAGTACCTAAAGGGGTCCTACAAGAAAACTGGAAAGGGACTTTTCACAAGGGCATGTAGGGATAGCACAAGGGGGAATGGCTTCAAACTGAAAGAGGGTAGATTTAGATCAGATATTAGGAAAAAGATCTCCACTGTGAGGGTGGTGAGACACTGGCACAGGTTGGCCAGAGAAGCTGTGGATGCCCCATCCCTGGCAGTGTTCAAGGCCAGGTTGGTTGGAAATTTGAGCAATCTGGTCTAGTGGGAGGTGTCCCTGCCTATGTCAGGGGGGCTGAACTAAATAATCTTGAAGGTCCCTCCCACCCCAAAGCATTATATGATTCTGTGAAACATCTGTGGATTGAGCATCATCAGATGAAATCACAGTCCAGTGTTAAAGCCTATATCTCATTAAAATATAACTTTCCCACCATTTGGGCTCTTAGCTTTCACCCCTATGCTGGCGACATGTAATATATCACCGGCAAATGCCATGGGTTTAGTGGCTCGGTGACTGCAATGGCAACGGTGAGGATACAGCGTTTACGAAAGCCAAGTTCCCCTGATAAGGAGTGAGACTCCACTCACCTGAAGACTTTTCTTGTGCTCATATCATCTCTGCGCTGCCCTTCCCAAATGTCTTCCCTGCAGAGACTTAACAGGCATCTGCACTTTCCCTCCTGAGATGATCAACCCACTTCCTAATTGACCAGAGCAGCCAGTCTGAACTTGTGTCTTCATCTTAGAAATGAGTCCCTATGGCTCCTGGAATGCATTGCACAGGCCTAGATGAAGGATTACAAAAGAGGTGAACAAACATCTTCTGTACATCACACAGATCACTGCTGTGTTTTGTGTTCGGTGTGTATGGAGTTGTATTGGTGGAAACCTATAGTTCGCTATCAATATGCTCTGGTCCTGGAGGAGAAGAGGTATGGAGAGGAAGTGAAAACAGGATGGGAAAAATACCCAGATGGGAAATGTATCTCTCATGGGAAAATGGTTTTCAGTCATCCAAGCAACAGCCTAGCCCACGGAAAAAAGATTGCTTTTTCCAGCTGTTATGCTAAAAGAAAAAATAAATTTTAAAGGGACAAATGCATAAGTCGAGCATATTTTTATCACAGCCTTTCTCACAAATTACTTACCACACTCATGTTTCTTATGAGGAGCCATTTTAATATTTAAACAGTCATACACTTCTCCAAAAAGTGTTTTCTGAAAAACCAAAACCATTATTATGTTGAACTCCCACACAGTTTGTTTTAAAAATATCTTTAAATACTATTAAAGAACAATCATTATGTAGGTTTATATCTTATGAGTGGGAAGCAGAAACCATCAATGAATCATATTATTCCTCCAAATGTAACGACAACATGATCAACTACCACAATAACAAAAAAGTTTATGCTCACTGTGCATCTATTTTGCAGGCAGTTTCCTGCCTTGAAATCTGCATAATAGGTAAGCTGTGGCAAGTGTAATATGCTATTTACTTTCCATCCGCTATGGATAGCCAGGCACGCTTGGTCTGTTGCATTGCTCCTCCTTTAGGTATGGTTCCTTGCTGACATGTATAGCATCCCTGAATAAGCAAATGCTTCTGCAAAATCTAGAATATGCTTCTGAAAAATGTTTCCAGATAGACAAAGCTAGATATTTAAATTATTTTACTGTCATCCATTATGTTTTAAGATTTTCTCTAAGTTAAAAACAACGATTTTGGTTGCAGAAAATATTTTCTGTTGTATGCTGCTTTGCAGAGGGAAGTGACAACAGGATGTTACTGAGGGAAGAGAAAGATTGCAAGAGATATAGAAAAAACACCATGGAGATCAATATTTAATCTATAATTATGGTGTACAGTATGTACTGTGCATTTTTTAAATTTAACTTGGCTTTTACTATTACTCAGTAGGAGGGGAACAGATACTGAGAGCCCTGGATAGCAACCATAAACAGTCTGTTTAAATACACATATTTTCAGATCTATGAGCACAAGAAGGAATGCATTGTAGGCTCTCTGATCTTTTTTCATGTTGGAAAATCTGAGAGCTTTACCTGGGAGATTTAATTTCAGGTAAAAGAATTTGTAAAATAACTTCAAAAGTTTATGCTGCATAGCATTGCGATACATATGAAAAAGAAAATGTTTGTGTCACCCTATTTTTGAATAAAGAAACAATGTGCAGATCACTTTTCACAGTGGAAATTCTGATGGTAAAAAGAGTTATAAATAAATACTAAGTCAGGCCCCTGCATGGGAAAGCCCCCATCCTCTATGGGTTTCAATCAGGAAGCGTGAAAGTAGAACTAATTCTGCTCAGTGTTAGAAGAAATTATAATATTCCTGGCAGCTCATATTCATCATGAGTTCAAAAGTGCTGTGAACGTATGCATATACTTGTCTCTCTGTGTATGTCCTCTTATATGGGCATTTACGTGCCACTTCTAGTTTTTTTAGAATATAGCTTTTACTGAAGGCCTTTGAAGTTAGCTGGCCAGAAAAGCTTAGGCACCAGGGGGAGGAAAATTATTTTAAGATTTTTAAAATTACATTATCAGGTATCATCTGCTTGCTAATGAAGCTTCAAAGTTATTTCCAGGGCAGAACTCTGCAGATTGCTCCAGAGAAAGAGTCCAATGGTCTATCTAAAACCTCATTCCATCATTAATGAGTGCTTAACCCCAGCATATTTGAACTTGGACTACATGACCAGTAGTCAATTTTCACTAACAAGTTTTTTTTGATCCTGAAAATCTGCAGCCGTGTCATCAGCTCCTTCTTAATTATACCATATTCTTTACATCTGTCCTGCTAAATAACTCTAATTGAAATAGCACCGGCGTGAATTTTTGTAATGTTCCCCCCAAGACATCCCGAAAGTGAATCACACGAGAAAACAGACTGAAGTCACAGCTGGAAGCACGTCAAGGATCATTTCCATTTTTACATGATTAATTTGAATTTAATATCTTAAATCAAAACCTGATTAATTTAAATAAAATTTTGATGGTGCCCTGCTTCTAATATACATTGCAGTAATTAGATTCAGCTTAATGTGATTTTTTTACATAATTAAAAAAAAGAGTAAGTCAAGTGTAACAATGCAGAGTTGGTACAAATCTGTCCATATTATATACATACACAGACACAGACACATACACATGGGATTTAGCTGAGACGTTGCTCAGGTACAGGAAATATCACAGCTGGATGGTTATACTATAGCTCACTTTATGGCATATGTAGAATATTTCATTTCTATTTCACTCCAATGTTAATAGCTGCTTCTTAAAAAAAAAAAAAAAAAGAGACAGAAAAAGGACCATAGAAATCAGACCAGTGAGTTGGTAAAAATATTACCAATGCAATAGCCTGCGTCAATTCATCATTCCTAGTTCCTCACACTTTTTAACTAACTTTTCTTCAGGAATCACCTCTGTGTATCCTCTAAGTGAAGAGTGTAACAGCAGCGCATGGGCTGCTGTTTCCCACAAGACTAAGAAAAGTTATAAAAGAAATTGTTACTGCATTTTCATAGGTGCTGGCCCTGCCTGTTTCTTCATTTATAAAATGCTCCTATGCATTATGAAAGTAATACAGTGAGCAAACAGCAGTTCATAGGTTAGGAACAGATGAAGCCTGCCAACAACCCATACCTGACCCTTCACTGGTGCTGGTTGTGATTTGTGCCTGTGACTGAAAATAGTCATTGCTAGTGAATAAAACTTTGCAAGGTGCATTGCAGGTAGCACTCACAGCAATATTTCAGCATTCAGAAGTTTCCAATTTCTATACAGGAGGAGAAGCTACTAAAATAAGGCTAACCAATGGGTTCACCAGCAGCTGTAGATAGAGTTTCAGTGAAGGATGCAACAAAATGATTCAGGTAAGCCAAAATCCTCAGAAATCCACAGATGGAGTAGAATTTTTTGTTTTGTGAACTTGGGCTTCTGTTTGAAGATTTATGTGAAAATAATTTTTTGTTTAAGTCTAAAATATCCAACTTATTACTGTAATTATGAATCTTTTAGGTAAAAAAAAGCACAACAAAACAATAATAATGTTACCTTTAAACAGAGAAAAGAAAGGTAGGCATATCCTTGTTCTAAGTGACTGAATTGCTCATGAAATTGTGTGTACTAATTAGATCTTTCTTCAACAAAGCAGTAAAACATCAACCTGAATTTTCAGCATGGGGTGATTCCAGAGCACATCAAGGCCCTTGACTTAGTGGACCTCTCCACCAGCCTTAAAACACTGCATGTACTAATAGTAAATCACTGTTAAACAGAGACAGTGATGGAGAGTGAAAAGCTCCTTTCCTGCCAGGGGCTAACAGCTTTCAGGGAGGTGCATGCACTGTTAATCCTTTTATGAAGGCAAGTAAAATCATTCAGGTGCATTTGATAGCATCCAGCTTTCTAAAAGACTTTACAC